AGGGAGAGGGAGAGGGAGAGGGAGAGGGAGAGGGAGAGGGAGAGGGAGAGGGAGAGGGAGAGGGAGAGGGAGAGGGAGAGAGTCAATGCCCAGAACAGCTACTCCAAGGTGGTATCCACTCCCTAACAGAAGATGTCTGCATAGCAAGGAGACTGCTAATGACCATCCACTCCTCCTCAGGCTCCCAAGACCTGCCTTTCTCCTGTAGAAGCCCCGCACCCTCATCCCCTCGAGATTCCAAGCAATGTACACACCTTTGATTCCAGCACTCGGGAGGCAGAGAATGGTAAACCTCTGAAAGTTCCAGGCCAGCCTGGTCTACATAGAGAGTTCCAGGCTAGCCAGAGCTACATAGTAAAAATTTACCAATAAAAATAATTGTGACCCCTGGCAATGGGCAAAGAGACACCTTGTTGGCGATGTCGTTCTTATATCAGTAGGGGCAGAGCAGATGGCAGTCCTATTTTCATTTTAGCTTGATGCCTGGCTTGGTGGCCAAAGCTGTTTGATGCCTAGGACTCATCAAGTCAAATCAAATCACATCAAATCGAGGCAGCACAGCACAGGAGGAAGAAGACAGAGAGAGATCTGTTCCACCACTCCATAGACCTGCCATCCATCACTGCACAGAGCCACCATGCAGTGCAGTGCAGCAGGAGGAAGGAAGACAGAGACCTGCCACATCACCCACAGATCTGCTACTGGAGGACAGACACAGAGGCTGTAGACATCCGCTTGCCAAAATGCCATAAAGCTTGGACCAAAGAATGTCACGCTGGGGCCCTCCAGTAGCACGCTGGGGCCCTCCAGTAGCACGGCCAGTCTGCAGCGGGAGCCGCCGCCGCCGCAATGTGGGAGTATGTGGTGGTCAGATGGGAGACAAAGAGAAGTGGAGCAGCTTAAACATTATGAACAGAGATGGAACTAGAAACTCGAAGGTGGAGGGGAGTAGCTTGTGGGTGGAGAGCCCCCGCTACCTGGAGCCATTGTAAGATGGCAGCCTGAGCTGCCACTGAGGGCCATGTCTGGGTCCATGGCTATGCAGAGGTGGGTGTTGGTGTCCGTGACTCACATTATCATTAGAGAACATGGGGTGTCCCTTGTCAGAGCAGATGTCCAAGAGTTGTACAGAACTGGCCACGCCCCTCACTGGCTTCGGCCCTCTGGCCCCGCCCTTCACTGGCTGAGGCCCTCTTGAGTGTTTGCCCGCCACTCACCAGCCACATTTGAGAGAGCAGGCCCTGCACCTCACCCAGGCAGCACAGTGGAGCTGGCCCTGGTGGTTGTGGGGTGTGGGTGAGCAGAGCCTGAGAGCATGAGTGTGGAAGAGCTAACCCTGCCACTTGTCTGCCATGGGGTGGCACGGGTACAGAGTGAAGCCCCTCTCCTCCACACTTCCGGTAGTTGGGAAAGCTGCACACAGGGTCATGAGTTCGGGAGAGCTATTCCTACCCCTCACTGGTTGCAGCGTTTGAGAGAGTGGGCCCTGTAACTTGCCTGGATAGCACAACAGAGCTGACCCCGGTGATGGGGGCTTGGATTCTTGATACCTCTATTCTGGACTCTCCAGTGCTGAGATTGTAGGCGTTTGGCCCTATCCATGGTTCTAAAATTGGTTTTCTCCCATAAATCTGGGCAATGTCCATCAAAGTCACTCATTAAGCAAAGATTTGGGCAGATGGAAGAAAATGGCTTTCCTCCCTCATAAGTCACTCTCTAGGAACCTGACTCCACCTGCAAGGGCCATCAAGTGTTACATCCACTGGCCCTCTGCCATTCCCATGTCTCCTTCATCACCTAGACCTACCTTCAAAGCTTTTATTCCTTCACAAACAAGGTTGTTTCTTCTGTCCGGCCACCACAACCTCAGTGGAGATGAGGCTTCCCTTCTTTCTACTTCTTCAGGATGCTTCTCCTACCCCTAAAGCCATGTTGAGCCTTGTGAAGCTCCCCAGCAGCCCCTGTAAAACAGACAGCCGGAGCAAGCAGAGCATGCTTGGCCCTGACAGTGCAGAACCCTATGCAGAGGGAGCATTGTAAAATCATAGAATTAAATACAAGGAATTCTCCCCAGAACCTCAGGTGAGCCACACATCTGACATAGCACCCTTAAAGGAGATCAAAAAGGGTAGACTCAGAGAAGTCTGAGAGAATGTCATGCTCTACAGTCAGAGACTGTAGGCAGACCTGCAAGACAAGGAACTGCCGAGATTGCCAGATCTTGAAGGAACATAGAGGGGACTCCTATCTGAGGGGAACTAGTCTTGCGCACCCAGTGGCAGGTAGCCACTGGTCATCAGAATGTATAGCGGCAAATTAGACATATGGTTTATGCTCATGACCTATGGCATAATAAGGACACAGTGGTCTCAGTGTTCAAGTGACATTAATCTATGATGGTCGTACCTCTGGGTTAGGTCAAGGTTAAGTCAAGCAGCAGCTGTCCTAACTCAGAATTTCAAGTTGGCAATGAGAACAAAAATTTGAGCTTTTTGCCAAGCTGGGACATCCAGTGAAAGCATCAGTAATTGTAATGAGTGAGAAAAATACCATAGACTGTAAAAAAAAAAAAAAGAAAGAAAAGAAAAGAAAAAAGAAAAGTGCTCGTTTGTTTATACACTCATGACTGAAGATGAGAAATTTTGCTTTGATATTAATGCAAACAACGGTGCTTCTTTTCTTCTTACATGAGTTCACATCACTCCTAATTCTAGTTAGCTAGCCTCAGAGAGACCTCTCAACAGAATGGCCCGTGCAGTGTTCTAGAGTCCTGTGGTTCTGTCTGATATTTACTAGGTTATATTTATACATCCAGCACTAGCTACACTGGAGAGAACCACTCAGAAGCTCCTACCCTGGACTACTTGTCAGATCGGAGATCTAAACTCCTTCACTGTGAAGATACAACTCCAGGGCCCTGGAATCACATGCTAAAGCCTCCATTACCTCATCTGTAAATAGGCATAACTACAGTACCTACATCAAGGGGATGTTGGAGAATTACAAGCAAAAGTAAAATCCTAAATTATTAAGCCTAATACCAGCACACAGACAGTATGCACTAAGTGCTAATTCCTTCAGATACTTCATAAGCAATAGTTTTGCCAAGCAATCCCTCCTCTTTGACCTCCCCTCCCCCTGTGGAGCAACAAGTTCAGGGAAAACAAATTGTTTTAAAGAGAAAGTGTCTGCAAAGGCAGATGGACCACAGGTTGTTCTGTGGTGTGGGTCCTATGGAGAGAACATTGCCTGCTTGTAAGATGACTGTAGCCTCACTGAATGTCCGTTACACTCCTCACTGCACATTCAGACAGAAACAAGATTGAGTGATCTGGGTTCCAGGAGTCTCTGTCACACTGTTGCTCATCGGTATAGTTGATGTCAGCAACATTTAAAAGTATCCTCTTAGTCTTTGATGAACGGAAACTAAAGGCTGCCTCAAAGTTCCTTCTTAGAAGTAACACAAAAAGAGTGTCTTGAGGATTTCTCTCTGCCCCCTGCCCCAACACCATTCACCATTCACTAAGTCTTTTGTTCTTGCTTCTGAGAGGTAAATCGCCCTTGAATTTGGTGACAGAAATGGTCTCTCATTGAGATGTAGGTGTGACTTTTAAAAAATGCAATGGCAAAAATGACAAGAACTTTGGAGTTCTAGGAGCCTTGGGTTGGTGCACCCCTGGATAGCAGCCTGGTAGTGAAGGTCCCTCAGTTCTCAGCCCTCAGCCCTGTCCCCTGTCCCCCTTCTACTTTAGCTTTGCTCCTTCACACGTGTCAGCACTAGAAGCCCATTCCAGGGCCTGGGTTGGGCATGCTCTATAAATAAACATGAAACTGAAGCATCTTTATCACAGGACATACTCCTGACAGATGCCACAGCCTCCACCCAGGTCATAGGCAAATTCCTGCCTCACTGCCACCATCTCTTCAAAACCTAGGAACTGGCCCTCTCCCCCTGGGTTCTAGGCCCACCCAGTCCTAGAACCAAAATCTAGGACCCAAAGTCACCACGTTTGTGGACCACTTAGTGGATATCAGCACTCATCCATTCTGGCTACTTTTCTAGCTGTGTATGTGCGCACACGTGTGCCACAGTCCATGTGTGATGGTCAGAAGACAATGTTGTCTCCTGGATTCCATGGATGGAACTCAGGTCCCTTAGCAGCAAGCACCCTTATACAGGGAGCCATCTCACAGGCCCTGAGCCAGTTTCTTTCTTATACAAATAACTCTACCTCTACGGAAACAAGCATCCTGGTCATTTCCTGCTTCAGCCAGGGTCAGGCAGTTTCCACTTTGCTTACAAAGGCCAATTGACTAGGTTTCTATAAGCTCTTTGAGAAGGGCTCGGTTATGACTCAGTTTTGAAGATGGGTAAACCAAAGTTCCGAGGGTTTAAGTAATTTGCTCAAGGTCCAGGGACACGGAGAGTATTTGAATTCAGCATCTGACTTCTAATCCAGAATGTTTTCACATGGGGTGGCCATCAGAATGGGCAGGCCCTGACTGCTTCACAGAGTCGTCACTAGAAGGACAACGTTACTCAGCATCCTGTAGTTACCTGTGTTTCATAGGCAGCCTCCCAAAGGCCTGCCAAGACCTTTTAGCTCAAGACTAGTAAGTGGGTATGCAACACCTTTGAAAACATTTACCTGATTTTTAAAATTGCCTACACAATCTATACAGTCATGGATGACAAAATTTTAAATACCGTTTGTTCACAAAGTAATGTTTTTAAATTTTTTATTGAATAAATCAAAGGCTGGGCTGTGGGTGAATCAGCATTTGCAACACACCAAGGATTCGGGATACATTTTGTCTCTGTTGAGTGTTTTTTTTTTTTTTCTAAAGCTAAACTGCAACACAGGCAACAACCACGAAAACCGACCTGAGGGCAGTGAAACTCAGCAGGTAGGGGTGCTTGCTGCCTATTCTGGCCACTTGAATTAAAACCCCAAGGCTGATAAAAATGGAAAAAGAGAATCGATTCCTAAAGATGGCCTCTGACCAGTACACTGGGGCGCACACGGACACAGTTTAATTTTTAAATGAAGAAAAACAACAAACTTCCCCCCAAATATTGTCGCGACCCAGGTCCTACATGTCCAGTTCATTAATAAACAGATCTCAACATATTGAGGGAACCAAGTGGCCTGGGGCTCAGAAGTCAGCACTATTTTCCTGACACATTCCCCCCCCCCCAACACACACACATGCAGGTGTGTATGTGGACAGGTGCGTACAGATGTGCTCATCTCTCAAGGGTGAGAAGGTAGTAACTGCTGCCCAGCCCAGAAGGACCTGATGTGGAGCAGCAGAGAGCATGGGCAGACCGAGTTCTCTACCTGGGAGACTAGGGAGGCAGGTGAGGCACCACAGTGAACTCAACACAGGAACAGCAGTAACCCACCAAGAACCCACACCTTGGGACCAGAATAGAGGTCCGGCTCTAGCTGGCTTTCCTCTTTTAATCTGCTTCTATGGCAGGACTTGAAAGGCCTTCAGCCTTACAGAGGTCGGGATTTGCA